CTCTTATAAAACAGTTGATTATATTCTCAATCAGAGACAGAGAATAACAGCTCTTTATTATCTTGAAGTTCAGATCACAGTAGTCTACACACAATCTCAGATCTTTATTCTTCTTCTTTATAAATATTACAGAGGCTTCTACAGAGATCTGTGAAGATTGAATAAAGTTATTCTTCAGATTCTTCTTCACATAGGTTTATAAGACCTCTGTCTCATAATAAGAGAGCTTATAGATTAATTCTCAGAAGAGTTTCTACTCTTCTATTAAATCTATTATCAGATTCTTTTTACAGTGAGAAAGAAGCTCAGCTGTTTTAGCTGAGCTGAATATCTCTGTAAGATCTCAGTATTTCTCTAATATCTGAAGCTTAGTTTTCATAACTGTGAGATTCTCAGACACTTATAAAGTTATTATATAGATGAGCTTGTCTTCTCTAATTAACTCTGTAGTATTAACTGATTCTATCTTTATAAGTGAGTCTATCAACACTGATCAGAAGTATAAACCTGACTTATAAACAGCTATATATGAATTATGTCTTTGAAGTCATACAAGTCTTAAGTACATGTTATCTGTGATATTCATGATAATCATAGTTTCTATAAATCTTCTTCAGGTTTCAGAGAGATCTTGCAATTTAAAAATAACTCTTATAAGTCTCTCAATTCTCAGATCTGAGTTCTTGCACTCTGCTTATTATAAGAGCAGATTCTCAGTCTTCATCTTTCAGCTTATTCACTCTGTGAGCTTTAGAGATATTACAGTAACCTGAGATTCTGAGTTCATTAATACTTTTCATACTTATAGAGCAGCAGTACTGCAGTATAATCTCTCTCTATGAGTAAGTATTTTCATCAGAGAAGTAACAGATTCAGGTATCAGCTTTAAGACTCTTAAGAAGACTGTTACTGACTCTGTCTGTGACTTCTCAAATTTCTATTTTAATTTGTTTAAATAGTTTGTATAAAGATGTTCTGATTTAGAATAGATAAAGCAGAGTTTCTTTTTCTTAGTCTCTCTATTATACACTCTATTTATAGAAGCTTATAAGACTCTTTCTCTCTGCTCAGCAGTCAGATGTGAATCTCTCTATATTTTATCATCTTTTTCTGATAAATCTGTTCTCTGTTATTCTGACTCTTACAGAGCTAATCAGTGATCTGCTCTTCACAGATCTGTAACTCTCACAGTGATTTATAAGTGATGAATGAGAGTTATCAGTTTCTTCAGAGCTAAGAACTTAGAGTCTTACTCAATGAGTTTATTCTGTATATCTTTATTCAGTCTCTTCATGAATATTATTATTCAGATCTTATTTCAGAACTCTGTTTTCACAGATCTTAATTCATATTATAATTTCATGAAATATTGTAAGTAGTCTTCATCAGATTTCTTATCTCTTTTTCTAATATTAGTGATTATGACTCAGATGTTCTCTGTCTGACTTATAAAGTCTCTTAACTTATTCTCTAGATAAGTCTTAAGAACAGATCAGTGAGATCTCTTATAATTATTTTCTAGATAATTTAGCCAGTTCTTAACTTCAGTGTAATAGAGGTCTGTTATTATATAGATAACAGCTTCTTCATCTTTTATATTACACAGCTGAGCTTGTGAGTCAATTTCAAATACAAACTTGTAAAAGCTTTTATAGATTGTAATTTAATAAGTAGTCTTAAGTAGTTGCAGCTTAAGAAAGTTTCTTTTCAGTTCATAGATATCTCTGAAGATTATGTCTAGAAACTCAGTTCAAGAGTGTTTACAGACAGTAAGCATTTCTCATAGAAAAATAGCTTAATTCTGTGAGAGATGCTCAAGAATATTCTTCACTGAGATTGATTTATTCATGAGTTTGAAGAATTTCTCTGTTACAGATATAGAGAATGATGTTCTGTGAGTAATTAATAAGTTCTCTGAGACTTCTTTTATAGAGATTATTCATGATTCAGATAGCTGCTTCTGAGTGTCTGCAGTAGAATTTACAGAGATTAAAGTATATAAGTTTCTAGTTCTTTCAGTTATAACAGGCAGTTGCTGACTAACTGAGCTTGAAATATAAGAATAAGTGCTTACAGACAATTATTCAGGTGTTTGCAGCTTGACATGATATATACTGTTAACTACTAGAAGTATTCACAGTAGAAAGATAAAATATAGAGATTAAATATATAATAGCATTCAAGCTGAGTTATAAATAGTATTCACAAACTTCAGTCTATATAGTTGTGTGTAGCCAAGGGCCGCTAGCCCTATTGATTACATGAGAGATAGGAATAGAGATAAAGAATCCGCGAGGAGCGGGATTTCTTACAATCTCTTTCTGTAAGCAAGTATTTTCATTAAGAAAGTAATAGATTCAGATGTCAGCTTCAAGACTCTTAAGAAGACTGTTACTGACTCTGTCTGTAACTTCTTAAATTTCTATTTTAATTTATCTGAACAGTTTGTGTGAAGATATTCTGATTTAGAACAGATAAAGCAGAGTTTCTTTTTCTTAGTCTCTCTATTATATACTCTGTTTATAAGAGCTTGTAAAACTCTCTCTCTTTACTCAGCAGTCAGACATGAATCTCTCTGTGTTTTATTATCTTTTTCTAGCAAATCTGTTCTCTGTTATTCTGACTCTTGCAGAGCTAGTTAGTGATTCACTCTCTACAGATCTATAACTCTCACAGTGATCTGTAAGTAATGAATAAGAGTTATCAGTTTCTTCAGAGTCAAGAACTTAGAGTCTTACTTAATAAGCTTATTCTATATATCTTTATTCAGTCTCTTTATAATATCATATCAGATCTTGTTCAGAGCCTGTTTCACAGATCTCAATTCATATCATAATTTTATAAAGCACTGTGAGTAGTCTTTATCAGATTTCTTACCTCTTTTTCTAATATTGATGATTATAGCTCAGATGTTCTTTATTCAGTTTACAGAGTCTCTCAACTTATTCTTTAGATAGATCTTAAGAACAGATCAGTGAGATCTCTTATAATCATTTTCTAGATAATTCAGTCAGTTCTTAGCTTCAGTGTAATAGAGATCTATTATTATATAAATAACAGCTTCTTTATCTTTTATATTACACAGCTGAGCTTGTGAGTCAATTTCAAATACAAACTTATAAAAGCTTTTATAGATTATAATTTGATAAGTAATCTTAAGTAGTTACAGCTTAAGAAAGTTTCTTTTCAGTTCATAGATGTCTCTGAAGATTATATCTAAAGACTCAGTTTAAGAATGTTTATAGACAGTAAGCATTTCTTATAGAAAAATAGCTTGATTTCATAGAAGATGCTCAAGAATGTTCTTCACTGAGATTGATTTATTTATGAGTTCAGAGAGTTTCTCTGTCACAGATATAAAGAATAATATTCTGTAAGTAATTAATAAGTTCTCTGAGACTTCTTTTATAGAGATTATTCATGATTTAAGTGACTGCTTCTGAGTGTCTGCAGTAGAGTTTATAGAAATTGAAGTATATAAGTTTCTAGTTCTTTCAGTTATAATAGACAGTTACTGACTGACTGAGCTTGAAATGTAAGAATAAGTACTCACAGATAATTATTCAGATGTTTGCAGCTTAATATGATATATACTGTTAATTACTAAAAGTATTCATGATAGAAAGATAAAATATAGAGATTAAATATATAATAGTATTTAAGCTGAGTTATGAATAGTATTTATAAACTTCAGTCTATATAGTTGTGTGTAGTCAAGGGCTGCTAGCCCTATTGATTACACAAGAGATAGAAATAGAGGTAAAGAATCCGCGAGAAGCGGGATTTCTTACATAATCTTATTATATAATTATAACTCTGATCTCATATAATACAGTAATAATCAGTTAGTAATTGACTTTTAATCTTTCAATTCACTCATTTATTCATTCATTCAGCTCATTAATTAATTAAAAAGCATGTATAACTGATTCATAATTAATTAAATAAATAGATAAATTCATATAGAATATAAAGAGATATTTTACAGAATTTTAAAATATATTAAGATAAAAATATTTAATAATTGATTTTAAATTAATTTTAAATTGATTTTGAATTGATTTTGAATTAATTATTAATTAATTATAGTAATAAAAATAAATTCAATCTATATATTTAAGTAATTAATAATTGATTGAAAATCAATTAATAATCAATTCAGTGTAAATTATATAAATACTTACTTTATTATTAAATTCAAGAATAATTTCAGTATTAAATTAATTTTAAATTGATTTTAAATTGATTTTGAATTAATTATAGAATTGATTATTAATTAATTATAGTAATAAAAATAAATTTAATCTATATATTTAAGTAATTAACAATTGATTGAAAATCAATTAATAATCAATTCAGTGTAAATTATATAAATACTTACTTTATTATTAAATTCAAGAATAATTTCAGTATTAAATTGATTTTAAATTGATTTTAAATTGATTTTGAATTGATTGTAGAATTGATGGTAAATAATTGAGTGGTTTCAAATTACAAGAAAAGATGTATTGAGCGAGGTCAGGTAGTGGCACGGGCCACATTTGCGAGGTCAGCTTACATAACGAGGTCAAGTGGCGCACTTAGCGAGGTCAAGTTTTCTGTATACACCAAGCTAGCAACCTTTCAATCACACAAGCTTTACACCTTCCACAAGTTCCGCATACCCACCGCAATACAATCCACGTGTCCCAACTCCATTGGCCGGAGGAAATGCCAGATACCATGTCAGTGCAGGGATGACAGTGTTATCGATTCGCTGAGGGCTATGCACGGATCTTGCGAAGCTCAAGGTAGGTGGGGTAATTACGGCGCTTCCAGCATTGGCTGGGCTGATAAAGCGCTGTGATATTCCACAGATGGAGACGTTTCGCTTTCCATGGTCATTATTTCTAAGAGAGCAGAATTGATAATGGCCAACACTCAGAGACTTCTGGACTATTTGATGGTGGCACCGCCGGGGCTCCCTACAGAAGAAACTAACAAAACGTCCAACACGACAAATGACCAATATAGTTGGAGGCAGATCAACAGCGTTTGGTCAATGGTCTGAATTCACCTACGCCCATATTATGCAGCTTTATGGGACCTTGCTTCAGCAAGTGCAAATTGAGAATGAACCAATGCCGAACTCTCCTCCACAGCCTATAAACACTGAGCCGATGTTCGCAGTCCGTTTCACTACCTATGTTCAAAGTTGACTACGCCGTGCGCTGCGAAGCAGTTTCCAGCATCTTGCACCTCAGCTTGCCAATCTGCATCTTACTCTCATCACAGTTGACATAGGTGATGCAGCTCAAATTATCAACAACTTCCGTCCTGATATCGCCTTTTTCCGAGCCGGCAGTACTCTCAACTCCTCCCCAAATCGCTGTCCAGGAGACCTAAAGGTGTCATGGAAATGGGGATCTGACTGGGCAGCAGCGGAGTCGCAGATAGATCGCACGGAGTATTTGCAGGTTCTGTCACAGATCAACTTCTACATGAAACAGCACAACGCGCGGTACGGCTTTGCCCTAACTGATACTGAATTGGTCCCTATTAAGAGACTCGATGCGAATGGCAACCTGTTGGTAGCACGGGCCATACCATGGGAAGCAGGAGGGCCTGGGCGTTTGACCGTTCTTATGGGACTTTGGTATCTCGGGATGTTGGGTGCAGTGGATGATGACTGGCAGCTTCTATAGAACACTACAGAGGTTGTATATTGTGCGACATGCTAGGGCGTTAAAAATTTCCAGAGCTCCTGCCTCTCCTCTCTCGCTCTCATTTTTTGTTATACCACGGCTCCCTAAACTATTCCGACTACTGGGTCTACGATCGTTTGGGTAGGTACAATTGAAATGGAAAGAGTGTAGAGATGAGGGATGCGAAAAATTTATAGCTTGGTACACGAATCGCTTGGTCTTCGTGAGACTTGACCAATAGACAGATACATACTTCCTGGTTCCTCACTATCGGAAGGGTGTGATGCTCTTGGGGTCGGTCTGTATGCGTGTGTGGACGAACCGTCATCCTAGTAATATTTTGTATTCGGGGGGAGACCCTGTTTCTGATCATCTGCCTGTAAAATCTGTCAGTGGCAAGGAAACAAGGAGCAAACATTGTCTGAGGCACCAACAAGTTTCACTTCAACACTCTCAACCCGCCTAGTTTCAATCTCAATCCAGCCATGTTCCCTATCTTCAATGTAGATGCTATCAGGGTAAGTGATTGCAACATCAAAATCTATCCACACAACTCTTTCCGGGTCGTCAGGAACAATCATAATATTTTTGGGATAAGGGTCATTGTGCTCAACCAAAGCTGAATGTATCTGTTGAATGTCTTTGACTGCCTTGGCCATTCGCTCTTTGCTATAAGTGATGCAGTTCATTATCAAAGGATTCAGCAGGTATTCCATCAAAATTGCACTTGAGAGGCCAGCGTCGTGTTGAAAGGCATCCAGATGAGGGACAAGGGCAGTTGGGTGCAAGGATAGTGTGTATCCATAAAACTGTGGCACATAGCCCCTGTCACATATGCCAGATCACTTGAGGCTGCAATAAGCCCGGATTTCGCAGCGAGCGCGATTCAAGTCACGGACCTCATCATCAGCATACCCAGCATCTTCATCATTGTGGAACTAGACAGGGTCAGAGCTGGTGCGTTTGAGATGCACTGATAACCAAGGCACCTACAACTTTCAGAACGCGGGGCATGCCATCATAGTTCACATGGAATATTGATGACACCTCTGATGTTTTCAGCTCTTTGATAAACTTGATCTTTGTGGGATCAATCTCAATCCTTAAATCGTCGTCGAATCCGCTCGCCTCGTAGATGGTACCCTCTGGGCCGCGAGGCAGACTGGTGCGCCCAGGCATGAGGGCGGGTAAGAAACCGAAGATAGCCAGGTAAGTTCCAGATGTTGCCAAAACATTTGGAGCTGTATAATGAATGACCCCCGTTACTTCCCCGGTGGAAGAAGGTGAGATGCTGAATGTGAAGCGCCGTTTCGCAAACTCGTCATCCAGGCGTCATGTCCGGAATTAGGTTGTTCCCGGCTGAGCGCCAAGTTGCCACATGTCATGTGACTGAACCGAAAAGGGAACAAACTTCTTTGTGTAATCGTAAAAAGGCTTACTGATGTTCTTATTTAATTTCCCCCATCTTGTCCAGCCCGTTGCTCCTAAGATGTCACGCGGGAAACATGGTCCAGCATGGCGCTTCCGGCTGCGATTTACATATTTTCCCTTGCTTCAGGGACCCTTCATTTTCACTCTTGTTGTCTTATGTTATGATCTTCTTCACTCTTCCTAGATATTGGTAGACTATAAACTGAAATAGTTTTGACATGTGATCTCCCCCCACCTTGAATAGCGGGTGGGAATTGGCCGACCTTGGAAGAGGAGGTGTACGTAAATACAGACAAAACCAGGCGATTGATCTTGGAGGATAACGTTGTTGTGTTGTGTTGTAATCTAACTACGCGAGTTACCTAAATGAATAGGTTGGGGTGGCACGTGACTAGGGTAGGTGTAGTAATCATTACAACACAACAACATTATTCTTCAAGAGATTATGAAGCTCTTCACAAGCAATGAATAACTGCAATAACATGCTAAATTGACATCTTCACACATTATTACAAGTGTGTCTAGATAATTTATTAATTAATTAGATTAATCTAAGATCTGAGAGAATATCTGACTTAATAAAAGAATACATGTCTTCAAGATAAAGAAATAAGAAAATGTCAGAGTAGTAAACATAAGATCACAGATTACTGTTAATATTAATAATAAATCAGAAGACAGCTTCTGAGATGTTTAAGTCAGATAAAACTATCACAGAGAAACAGTCTGATAAGTTTAATAAATATAAAGATTTAATTAAAGATATCAGTGAGATATCAGATAATATAAGAGACTTAAATAACTGAAATAATAATAGCTTAGTAAGTGAGAAGACTTATATAAGACTAGAAATTACAAGACTTCAGTATAAGATTAAGTAAATAAAGATTAGTAGAGATAACTCTATAGATAATAAAATAGAAGTAGATCTAATAAAATATCTTTAATAAAAAGAGAAGATATTTATTATAATAAAAGTTCTTAAAGAATTTAGAAGTTAAGTAAAACTTATTAAAAGATTAATAGTTCTCACTGAATTTATTAACTACTTAATATAAAGAGAGAAAATTCTTTTAACTGTAAAGTAGTCTAAAACTGATAATATTCTTAAAGATAATAATCTTAATAAGAATATTACTATAAATATATAATATTTCTGAAAAGAATATAATTTTTAATTATATAATTATATATGATTTACAATTATCTTACAGATTAAAACTCATTTCACTATACTTAAGAAGTTTAAATTATCAGCTTATACTCTATAAACTATTATAGAGAATAACTTTTCTGAAAGATCTACTATATATAGAACTCATTTGTTTAAAGAGCTTATTAAAATAATCTTTAAAAGTAAAGAATCTGACAGAGCTTTTATTAAATAATTAATTATTATCAGAACTGATTATATTCATCTGAGATATAAGATTAAAGATATTATGTTTTTTAATAGATTACTAATAAAAGTTAATAGAGATTGAACATTCTTTATAAAGAATAGAATGAATCAGATTGATAAGAATAATTCAAGATCTTTAGAAAAAGACTTTATAAGATTATACTATAATATACTTCTATAACTTTCTACTGTAGAAAATAGTAGTACTGAATTCATGAAAAATCCTGCAAATAACACTCAAGATAAGAATAAGAAAGATAATGATAAGAACAAGAACACTGAATTCAAATCTGAATATAGAGATAATGATGTGAGAATCTGCTATTATTATTAAAAGATTGATCATATTCAGACTGACTGTTAAAAGAAATACTCTGAGAAACATTCTTTGAATTTAAATTTCAACATCAATAGAAACAAGAATAAAGACAAGAATGTAGAGAATACAGATACTACTTCTATTTATAATATTATAAAGTAAGTATTTTGTATCAAAGAAAAGATCTATGTAAGTAATTAGATAGAAAAAGATATCTGAATTCTAGACTCTGAATTAAGTGCTTATATCACACTTCACAGAGATTTTATTATAATAAAATCTCAGAAGATAAAAGTAATATTGAAAATAGTAGATAAAACAGTAGTTCTTACTGCAGCTATTGAAGATATGAAGATTTCAGTGAAAGAGATGAATATACTATTAAATAATATCTGCTATGTCTTAAAGTTAGAAGTGAATTTTATAAGTATGAGTAAGCTTATATATCAGAGTTATATCTATAAGCAGTTGATATATAAGAATAATTATACTATATTGATTATATCTTCTAACTGCATGTTCTCATTTATAACAAGATTAAATGAGAATAATATCTATGAGATGAAAAGGCTGATTATATACAGAGACTTAATTCAGTTTACTATACTTAATAATGATTTTAAATCTGTGAATACATTACAGATAAAAGATGACATAATATTAACACTATCTGACAGAAATGATATAAAGATTATAGAACTTATAATAATATAATAATATTAAAAGCTAGAATATCTAAATTCTACAGATATTATAAAAATAGTAGTAGATTCATATCTAGAGATAAGAATTATTAATTAATAAGCTTTATCATTCTGTAAAGTCTGTGTTCAGATAAAAAATAATATATTCAATCTTTATATCTATAATATAAGTTATTAAGCTGATAATGAGATTCTTCATTGATCTGACAGAGAATGAAAAAACACTTTTTAACAGAAATAACACTCTTACTAGAGAGAATACAAGCTACTGATTAAGTATAATAAATAATATAATCTGTTATAGATGAGTAATTCTTATAATAAGAAAGAGAGAATCTACTGTAAGATTAATAAACATTATTATAAGTATTAAGATAATTATATAATATTGAGTTGAAACTCTATACTGAGATAATGAAAAAGAGTTTAAAAGTCAAGAACTTAAGATCTACTGTCAGAGTAAAGAAATAATATATAAAATAACTATATCTGATACATCACAATTAAATGATTCAGTGAAATATACAAATTAAATAGTTATAGAAAAGATATAAAGTCTACTATTTAATAGTAAATTAGAAAGAGAACTTTGAGATAAAGTAATATAAGTTATAATTATAATGATCAACACATTCTCAACATTAATAAAGATATTTAAATGTAAGAAAGAAACATTATTTATATCTTTTAAAGTATGAACTGAGATACTATCTTCTATTCATTAAATACAGAGATAAGAGTGTAAGATCTATAAGAAAAATTTAAAAGTATTGAATAAGCTCACAGATAGAACTGATGATAAGAAATAATAGCTAATTAAATATCAAGAATTATACTAATATTATATGTGAGATTCTGTTGTATATTATCTTGAGATTGCATGAGATGTTATATTTAATGAAGCTCTTGAGAACTATTTGCAATAGTGAAAGCTTTCAAACTCATAGAAATAAAATCTCATAAAAGAGGAAATAGTTTGAAAGAGGCATGAATATTCTCTGATAGTCAAGCTACTTTAAAAAGACTTAGAAATAGTCAGATTTATAATGATCAAATGAATCTTGAACTGATCTTAAACTCTGTTTTGAAAATTCAAAAGAGAAGAACATCAAAGCTGATAATTCATCTGCACTGAGTTCCTGCTCATATGAATATTCATGGCAATGAATTGGCTGATTCAGCTGTAAAAAAGAGTGCAGAATTAAGCAGATCTATTTAAAAAATTATCTTCTGATCTTTTATAAAGAGAAAAATAAAAGAATCTTGTTTAGACAAGTGAAATGAAAGCTGGCAGAAATAAAAGAAGAGTATACATTATTCAAGATTTGAAACAAAGCTCAAGTAAAAATCTTGTTCAATTAAATGTAAAAAGAAAATATTCTCATCTATAATACAGCTGAAACTAGGACATGGCTATTTCAAATCTTATATATAAAGATTTAATGATAGATTTGACTCAATAGAATGCTCATTCTGCAATGCAAATGAGAATTCTGAGCATATTGTAATGCACTGTGTATTATACAATAGTCTCAGAGTCAGATTGAAAGAGAAGTATAATCTAAATTAATTAAATATAAGATTCTTATTCTTAACTGAGACAGGAATTAAATACTTAATAGACTTTCTATCAGAAACTCAAGCAGCTATAAGAAAATGACTAAATTCAGAATTATCTGAATATGAAAAGAAGGAAATCAATCAGATATAGTCTGTTAAAACAGCTATACACTATCTTTTAATAATTTGTTTTGTTACAGTCTCTCTTTACTTTATCTTTTTCTTTATCTTTTTCTTTCAATTCCTTTCTATCTATCTATTTAATGTGTCTATCTTTAAGGCTGTGTTCTTTTTCTCTTTTCCTTTGTCATGATACTGTCAAATGATTTCAAAGTATCAGAAGATATTAAAACACTGCAATTTGTAAACAGTTTTTATATTCTGAGCTGGAATTTTCTGATTTTGCATATCTGAAATTGATGAATGTATAATAGTTAACTTTACAGACATAGAAAAAACCCTGAGAACTAAAAGTTCTCAGATAGATGTCAGAGTCTCTGACTGCATACATCTATAATTGAAGAATAATAATAATAGTAATAATGAAGCTCTTGACATGAGTGTAAATACATCTGTAAATACAGTGAGAAAATTCAATGAATTATCTAATGAATTGAATATTCTGAATGTCAGAGAGAAATGACAGCACTGCTTACTATAATATCTAGTAAAGAAAAAGTCAGATGTTTTAAAGATAATTATTAATAAGAATTTAAAGAGTGTAATTAATTCAATCTATCTTCTAGATAATAAGATACAACTT